TATCCAAGGACATCCTGGGAAAAGAGACATTCTTCTATGGATCAGGATTCTGTTGTGCTGCCTACAACTGTCCATGAGTGAACAGTCCACCATTCAGCCTGGAGATCTTGGATTCGTCATTCATTGGAGTCAACAGCTGGTGTACTGCCTGCCAGCCTTGAATTCCACAGCCCCTGCAGTTGCAAGAGTCGGAAAAGCCTCCAGCTTGACGTGGAAAATCCAGCTTGACGTTTGATCCAGGAACTTTGGACTTGCCAACTTCTATAAGTGTGTGAGCCATTTTCCTAAGATAAATTTCTATATATACATATAAGCTTTACTGGTTTTGTTTCTCTAGAGAACCCAGTCTAACACGGATGGTGAGATTTTGTCTCGTGTATTTTCGACACCTTATCAAGAGGAACCAGTTCCCAAGAGGAACATCACTCCTGATAAAGCAGTGGGTCAGTGAAAAAGAAGGACACCCTCAATTAGATGGATTGACACAGTGGCCCTAACAATGGGCCCAAACCTAGCAATGATTAAGAGAATGGCAGAGGCCTGAGCATTGCTCCATTGTACATAGGTCTGCCATGAATCAGAAATGACTCAACATCACCTAACAACAACAATCTTAAAATATTTCTCCAACAGTCCAGAGTTCTAACTTTCAGATTTGTACATACTCAAAAAATTTGAAAGATGAAAACATATTTATCTATTACACCATCCAGAGTTAACAATTATTGTTTTGTTTTCTTCCAACCTTTTTCATACGAATTTTCTTTTTCACAATGCTATACATAGTTTTGCATTTTTATGTCTTGTATCAGGAAATTTTTCTCAATATAAAACACTCTTCAAAAACATGATTTTTAATATATTGCTTATTTCGTGAAGATCTGTTGTTAGGTGCTGTCCAGGGGGTTTCACAGAGACCCTATGTACAACAAAACAAAAAAGTGCCCCGTCCTGTGCCATCCTCACAATCCCTATGTTTGAGCCTATGGTTTCAGCCACTGTGCCCATATTTATTTAACCATTTACCATTGGTTGAACATTTACTTGTTTCCAATGTTCTAGTTTGATAAACTCTGAACAAAGTCTTTGGCTGTATTTCTGGCTATTTCCCTAAAAGTGATACTACTGGGTCAAAAAGAGAGAGAGAGAGCGTTTAAAGGCTCTCAAATCCTGGAGAATTTCTGGGTCAAAGAGGATGGCCCATCGAAAGGCTTTCAATAAGTTCTGACAAGTGTTTTCAAGAAATGTTGCTAATTCATTCTCTCATCAACAATAGAGAAGATGCCTGGATCACATTCATAAAAAGAACTCTGCACCTTCGGTAAGTGTAAAATGGCGCACTTCACACTTCTTTGAATAGTAAAGTTGAACATTCTTTCCTGCAATTTACATTTCTTCTTTAGTGAACTGTTTCTATCCTTTGCTCGTTTTCCTATAGTATTGTTTTTAATACCTTAAAATGTTGTTGTTACAATATAAAAAATACTTTTAAGAAAATACTTGACTGCTAGAGACCCACAAAGGCGGGCTCACCCACTCCCGAACTTTGAAACCAAAGGTATGGCCCTTACACTCAGCATGGCAGAAGCAGAGGCTTCCACAACTCACTTAGAAGGGAGACTGCAGGGAAGGCGTTGGCTCTGGAGAGAAACGTCTCGCGGGATCTCAGTTGTCCTAGTTTAGAACTCCGCGTCGGTGAATGGGCGGGTGGGTGTCTGTCTCTGGACGGACTACAAATCCCAACATGCAACACGCTCTAAACTGGAGAGCCCGAATGAAGGCTCAGGTCCAAGGTCATGTGTCTGTCTGCGTAACACGTCCGGTCATCTCTCCCACGCCTTTTTCTACAGCTTCCACCTTGGTCGCCATTTTGTGCCGGAGATATGGAATTTCTGTGTTCCACGGACTCTATGGTTGAGCATTTCAGGGATTGACCAATCGTAAAGCTGATCTCGGAGTAAGGTCCGCCTTTACCTTCATGGAGGCGGGAATTGCTAAGAAGTCCCTGTGGAGAGAGAGGAAGAAGCTGCGCAAAACCAATAAGAAAGGAGGATTCGATGACGTCAACCAATGGAGGAAGCGGGGAATTGCAGCCAATGAGAGTGGAAGGACCCTAGGACACGTGGGTGGGGGGAGTTGAGCGCTGAGACCCAGAGCTAAAGCTGAGGGTGAGTCAGTCACCTTGAGCCGGGCGAGCGACGTGGTCCGAGCAGGGGCAGCAGGACAGTGGGAGTGCAGGTGATTTGGGGTCAGGAGCCAGCAGCCGGCAGGGTTATGGGCTGGGCTATATGAAGGGACATTTGCCCTCAGGTGCGGGAGAGACGATGCGAGTCAGTCGCCTTACCAACTCATGTTCATTACCAATGGTAATGAGCAAGACTGTCCCAGGTGGGACAGACTGAGGACTGCTGTGTAAGATAGGCAGGACCCGGCACGGCACCTGCCTGGTATCTGCCTTCAGTCTTCCCGGGAGACCATCCCCTTTTGCAACATTTTCCGCCTAGGGCTTGGGCCTCCTTCCTTCCGTTCTCCGTGACCTTTTGCAGACCCGCCACGCGGGTGGTGGACTGGGGAGTTGGCTCTGGCCCTCTGACCTCTACTGCTCTCCTTACCTGGGACACACACAGTGCAAGGAAGAGCGTGGGCCAGGGAGGACGATCGGGGGTGGGGGAAACGACCGAAGGTCGCGACTATCACCAAACGACTAGGCTCCCAATGGAACTTTTTTTCCCCCCTTCTCTGTAGACTGAAAATATGCAGACCACTGGGGCACTACTCATTCCTCCAGCTCTGGTAAGCTGAGGCTCCGGGGTGGTCTGTAGAGCCAGGTGTGGTAGCCATCAATGTTTAATGAATGAACTGAGAGGACCTTGTTGTCCAGATGATGTTGGCTCTTTGGGGAGGCTATAGAATGTGATGCAGGTAATCTCCCTTTATTTTGACCTGTAGAATCAAGCATTATAAACCAGCTACCTTGACTTTGGAATGTCCTCAGAGTATGGATCTGACCTTTACTGCTGATTTGGCCCTAGCCAGGTAGTGCACTAAAGAGCAGTGGTTCTCAGCCTTATACCAGTAAGAATCAATCCTGTGGGGTGTTTTTAACACTCTTGATAGCAGGCTGCACCCTAAACCAATTCCATCAGTCTCTGAGAATGAGAGTAGAACACAGGCATTGGGCATTTTTTTTAGAACTCCCCAGGTGATTTCAATGTTCAGCCAAGTTTGAGAACCACTGCATTAAAAAATATTTCAAGAAAGCCATATTACAGATGGTTCTACTTAGATGACCATTTCAGGAACCTCAGCAGGCTTACTGGGCCCTCTACCCAGGGTGTGTAGCAGATTTCCTACCTCTGATTCCTTTGAAGTGCAAAGGAAATGTATCTGGTTTGATGTGAGTGTGAATTCTTGTTTCGTTCTGGGATACTGATTAAGGCTGTGCCCATGGAGGTGAACTTTGGTACATGGTTTTGAATGGTTAAGGTCGCCACTGCTGAGTATACCAGGGTTTCAGGACAGCTATCTTCCTGGTAGAAAAAAGAATAATTGACCTTGAATACATTGAATTTTTTCTGTGTATGACATTTATAGTCATTTTTGACAGAAGCTCAACAATTATGTTTTTTGGTTTGGGTATGTCTTTCTGATTTTATAGGTCCGCTGTTGTACCAGGAGTCTAATCAGGCCTGTGTCTGCCTCATTCCTGAGTAGGCCAGAGGTCATCCCATCTAAACAGGTAAGGGAGTAAGGGTCCTCCCTGTTCCTTAGTTTGGGTAAATTGAGTGGCTTTTAGGCAGAAGTGATGAGAGGAAGAGAATGTGTAGTGTCTTTAGTGTCCCCCACCCAACATGAGCATTGTAGGTGAGAAACCTGCTAAAATGAGGTTTTCCTAACCCACAAAGTTTCCCTAGCCCTGCCTGAGAACAGACTCCAAGACTACTTCCCAGCATACTTTGCAGTCAGAGCATTCTGTACTTGCCAGGCAGTTTGCCAAGCGTTTCCCAGAGCTCAGGTGGATGGGGTGAAGGGGTGGAGTCCACCTGTCTTTGTGCCTTACTATCTCCTTATGCTCTTTCTTTCTTTCTTTCTCTCTCCTCCTCCTCCTAGCCTTTCTACAGCAGTTCCCTGCTCCAGGTGGCCAGACGGGAGTTCCAGACCAGCGTTGTCTCCCGGGACATTGACACAGCAGCCAAGTTTATTGGTGCTGGGGCCGCCACAGTTGGTGTGGCTGGTTCAGGGGCTGGCATTGGGACAGTGTTTGGCAGCTTGATCATCGGCTATGCCAGGTAAGTTAGGGGGTAGCTTAGAGTATCCCCCAGTGGGAGGAGCTCCCTTCAGGAGGCTTCAGGTTATTTTATTTGCCTCTTGTTTTCTCCAGTGGCTTCTTAATCAGAATGTAAATATGTGTCTGTCCAACCTGGCTCTCTTAAACTTGCCATGTTGGTTTGCAGCTTGCCCATCCAAATTCCCAGGAAACGTGCAGGCTAGGCCTTCTCCCAGTTGTAGCACTCCCCATCCACCTCACCCTCCTTGCCCTCCACCCCCAGCATGACCTCACCTCCTCCCCTCCCTGGGCTGGCATCGATCTCTGTCCCTGGCAGGAACCCATCTCTCAAGCAGCAGCTCTTCTCCTATGCCATTCTGGGCTTTGCCCTGTCTGAGGCCATGGGGCTCTTCTGTTTGATGGTCGCCTTCCTCATCCTCTTCGCCATGTGAGGCTCCATGGGGGTCACTACCCATCCCTGCTGCTTCAACTCCAGGCCATGCCCCATGCTGGAGTATGCTAAGCTTTACCATTAAACACAACGTTTCTCTAAAGCCGTATGCCTGTGCCTCTGTCCTTTGCCCTTGGGGAGGGTCTTGGTAAAAACAGAAGAGGGAATTGGGTCAGCCAGGGGTGATGAGGAACCCCTCGGGACTGAGCAGCAGTAGCACTGCCATGCCCGAAAGAATGTCAGTTCTCTCCCTCCATCTCCCAGGAGGAGCATGGGTTCATCCCAGGAATGATAACTGGTGCTTTTTTCTCTTCAGATTTAATGTTAATTTGGAACATTTTGAGGGGAGTTTAATTTGCACCAAGCTCTGTACCAAGTGTACAAAAGAGGGAACTAAGGCTTAGGGAAGCAACATAATTTGTCCTGAGTCACAGCGCTGCTCAGTGGCAGAATTGGGGATTCCCCCTCAGACCAGCCTGAACTTTGAACTATTGTGCTATCCCCTCTATTTTCATTTTTGGTCCCACAATTAACGTAGCACAGATGGGGGAACTTTGTTCCAAAGAAGTTGTACAGCAAGGTAGGGGTGGGGCTAGCATCTGCTTGGATTTAGCCGTACTTGTTTTATTTTCATTACTTATTAGCCTTTCTTAGAGTGCTCAGATGTTCTTGAATAAAGCAGGTAAGATTCACAATCCCTGTTGGAGAATTTACAATTTTAGCTTTGCTAGAAACAAAAAGTGTTTTCTAAGGTGAGCCAACTAAAGAATTGCCTGGAAACTTCATGCAGCATCTTCCTTGTAGTCTCATAAGTCTGTGCGCAGCAGTCTCCTACTTGGCTAAGCAAACAAACAAACAAGCTCTGACTCACGTCGACAGTTGAGGTTAGAGTAGAGCTGCCCCCTAGATTTCCAAGGCTGTGAATCTTTAACGGAAGCACACTGCCTTATTAGTCTCCTGTGGAGTGGCTGGTGGGTTCAAACTTCTGACCTTTTGGTTAGCAGCTGAGTGCCATAACCACTGCCCCGCCAGAGGTCCTTTACTTGGCTAAAGTGGGTCTGATATCTCAAAGTCTGATACCAACAGCTGTTGTTTCTCTCAGTCCCAGTGGGGCAATTCATGGACAGCATTAACACAGTGGTGCTGGGGGACACTGTCTTCAAACTGGATGGTTTGAAAAGAATAATTTACAGGACCAAGCAGTTTTATTCGGATTGCTATCAAGTCGGAGTCAATTCAACAGCAGCCAACAACAATTTACAACTGGAAGCCATTTTGTGAAAGTCTTATGCCTCACAACTTATTGCAAAAATTCTGTGAAAGAAATCAAAACCAAGCCGACTGCCATAGAATCAGTGATCCTATGGAGCAGGACAGAACTACCTCTGAGTTTTCCCAAGGCTGTAACTCTTTACAGAAGCACTGTCTCATTTTTCTCTGGGGAGCAGCTGGTGGGTTCAAACTGTCAACCTTTGGGTTAGTGGCCCAATGCTCTAACCACTGTGCAGCCAGAGCTCCTAAGTGAACTCAGGAACATTGCTAATTGGTGCTAGGCTTGCTTTCTAACCGAAAGGCAACTAACAAAGAAAACAAACCCAAGAGTGTGAATCAGTGAGAACGGATTCAGTCTGCGTGCAATTGAAAGAAAATGCAGGTATTTGGGGGGTAAGCACCTTCCTAAGGGCTGTGAGGGAGGAAAAGAAAGTGAGGTCCTTGCCCTCAAGGAGCTTGTAACACCCAGACAAGTGGAAAGGACAGTAAACAGTGCCACACATATGTGAATACAGAAGCTATTTGCTGTGAAAATTCCAATAGGAAAAGCAAGGAGGCCAGCGTAGTTGTAATGATAATGGTTAACTTTTGAGCACTTGTTTGTTAGGGGCAGTGCTGAGCACTTTCCTGATTACCTTAGTCTAGTCAGGTGATACAGGTAAGGAAACTGAGGGAGGCTCACAGAGGAGGCATCTGGCCTATGGTGATACATCTGGTTAATAAAACTGGTATTCAAGCCCCAGATCTTGTGTTCTTATCACTGCTGACTCATCTAAAGTTTGTGGAGGCTCAGTGACGCCCAAGGTCATACGGTAGACCAGTGATTCCAATCCAAGTCTGTCTGGCATTTCAACAATCATGGTCTTCTTACCAGAGCTTCTCAACCTCGGCACATTTGGGGCCAGATAATACTTCACTTGGGAGCTCTGGTAGCATAGTGCCTAAGGCACTTGACTGCTAACCAAAGGGCTGGCGGTTCAAACCCACCAGCCACTCCTCGGAAGGAAGGTTGGGCAATCTACTTCCGTAGTGATACTGCTTGGGAAACCCAAGGAGGGGTTGCTATGAGTCAGGGCCGACTCGAGGGCACATAACAACCACCACAATAATACTTCATTGTGGATGGGTGTGCTGTGGGATGTTCAACAGCATCCCTAGCCTCTAACCATGATATACCCATAGCAACCCTCTCCCCATACCCCCTCAGTTGTGACAACCAATAGCCAAATGTCAGATACTGCCAAATGTTCCTTGGCTGGGGGACAAAATAGCCCCTGGTTGAGAACCTTCCCACTAACATGATCTGCTTGTCCTCTTAGCCTCTGTACCTAGGTAACTCCTTCAAGGATGCTATGCAAGCCAATAATAGAACCTGCAGTAGCGCCCAGGAATTTCATCAGGGCTATAGTAGAGAAATGAGACTGAGGCTGGACTGGCAACTGAGGAGCTGCCAAGGGAGCAGTAGATTAATGGGTAATGCTTTTAGGCGAACGGAACTTCATAACCCTTTGGGATGTCAGGCTGGCATCCTTGTGGGTCACTGCCCTCTAGTGGAGAAGAAGCAGTCTCTAGGGAAGGTAGTTGCCTTTTCATTCCTGTAAAGCTTCAGGAACTTAGTTTTTACCAAGCCACCAGCAAGAATTTTCCTTCATTGCCGGCTCCGGACACCCTCAGAAATGTTGGGACTTAAAAACCCAAACCAGCAGCAAGCATTGGGAATGTGGCTGGTGGACCTGTTAGAGCCATAGAAGGTTGGTGGTGTCCGTGCTCTCCTACCCCAACCAGGCTAGTTAGTCCCATAACTTTACTTGGAGGTTCCTTAGGGACTATGGACTGGCCTGTGGATGGGACCATTTTCCTTAGGGCAAAATATTTGTGAATGGGTACAGAGGTGCATTTTTCTTGGGAGAGGATCTATAGCTTTCATTATATTTTCAGAGGAATCAAAACCAAACTCATTGCCATTGAATCTATTCCAACTCATAGCAACAGTGACCAAAAAAACAATTAGAAACTAGCACCTTAAGAGTTCAGCATCAAGACCAGGGCTTGGAAGTTAGACGGCACAAAGCCCAGCCCTGCAGCTTCCCAACTGAGAATTAATTTCCCTAAGCCTTGATATCATCTTTCAATGTGGATAAGAATAATCTGTGGTTATGACAATATGAAATAATCCATGTAAAATAAACATATGCAATATTAACGGTGTACATGTGATAGATACAGATCTATATATAGTTGTTTGGTGCCCTTGAGTTGGTTCTGACTCATGACCCCATGTACAACAGAATGAAACACTGCCTGGTCCTATACCATCCTCACAATCACTGCTATATTTGGGCCCATTGTTGTAACCACTTGTTGAAAGTCTTCCTCTTTTTTTTGCTGACCCTCGATCTTACCAAGCATGATGTCCTTCTCTAGGGACAGATCCCTCCTGATAACATGTCCAAAGTACATAAGATGAAGTCTTGTCATCCTTGCTTCTAAGGACCATTCTGGCTGTACTTCTTCCAAGACAGATCTGTTCATTCTTCTGGCAGGCTATATATTCAATATCATTCAATATTCCTTGCCAACACCATAATTCAAAGGCAAAAATTATATATGTGTGTGTGTGTGCTTGCACATGGGTATTAATGAGAGATGTAATGAGATAATATACACAAATATTAAATTATTAAATATAGTTATTTTTACTTAGAAGCCTCAAAATCCCCCATCCAAGTTCTGATTTCTCCTTTTTGTCCAGGATTTATGACTTTGACAGGGAATTCTTAGGTTTCATGTTTTTTGGCATTGAGTCTAAGATAACAGCCCTAGAGGGGAAGAACTTTCCCAGAGGGCGGTGACACATAGCACCCTGAGGAAGGGGAGGAGAAAGATCTTCATGGTGAACATTTTTTTTTTTTTTAGAAGTTGGAACACAGTGGTGACCTGCACTCTGGGGCACTAACCAGGCCTTGTCCTTGGGGAAGGGCATTTGCCTAATTGCCATGAGCAAGGTGCTACCAAACTTTGTTGCACCAGGGGAACTCCTCAAGGCAAAGCAGTCCTGTTGCTGGGGAAGGAGAGAGAGATATTTGGATTCAGGTTCCTGCAGGAAGATCCTCAGCTCTCACCCATCCCCAGAGGGCATGAGAATGGCTCCAGAAGGCACACTGTTACCCTCCGGCCAAGCTGCCAGTGAGAAGCAGCTGGGTGCTGCCTTGAGAAAGTCATTGAGCAGTGGACTAAGTATTGCCAGCTCATGACATTCAGCTCTGTCTCTGGCCTTTCCTTTCTTCTAGCTTGGAGGCCTCCTGGAGATATTAGTGTTGAGGTCGGGTCTGATTCGATGGCACATAACAACAAGTCCTTTTTAAGCAGCTGCCATCCCCAAGCTCTTCAGTCCTTGACCTGCAGGTTCTTTGTGCAAGTTTGGCTCAGCCCTTTGAAAAGAAAATAGGCCTATCTGAGGAGAGGAGGAGGTGAAATCCTAAAGATCTATGGCCAGGGAAGGGCAGCTGGCTACCTGGTCCTCATTTCCGTTCTGTTCACCATATTTATCAACATCCACTGTGTCAGGTCCTAGAGACACAAGGGCAGGGGCTCTGTGCTTCCTGCACTGGAGGAGGTCACATCTAGTGGCCAGACAGATGAGTAACCATGTAACTAAAAAGTAGTAAGTGCTATAATAAAAGTATGAATAGACAGCCATGAGAACTAAAGGAGGGAGTAATTAAAAGTGACTAATTATTAATAATATGCCTGGAAGTGTTAAAGCTTGGCAGAGAAAGTCATATTCCAGCCAGCTTTAAAGGATGAGGTGGAATAGTAAGTTAATAATTT